GAATCCACTTCCGTTCCGTTCAGCAAAAAGCAAGACTTATCGATGTGGAAAGGGGTGCGATAAGAGCGCGCTAGATATGATACCGCTTATCGTTATCGTCCCGTTTTCATTCTGGAGTGCACCTCTTATCAAGCAGCCGCACCTTCTTATCTCATCGTATCATATCTTCCATGGGCCATGGGCTTACACTCGTCCAACAATTACTGCCTCACACCTTATCGATTGATAACGCGAGGGTAGCAAATCCAGCGTGGAAGCCAGCGTGATCGCTTCCTTTAAAATTTTTGCTACAAATCGTGACTCAGGCACCCCAAGGGCATCGTTCCATGCGAAGCGGGTATCTGTTCGATGACGGCGAGAGCGAGAGCGATGGGCGCAAAGAAAGTAGGAACGCTAGCTCCAACAAAAGATTCGGCGCAATCACTGCGTCATATTGGCTATATGACAACAAAGAAGATAGCCGAATTAAGCAATTCATCGTTAGCGCCGGGACAAAAACGAGCCGTCACTGATGAATAGCAGATCCATTGGACAAACCAATAACCCTACGTAACAGCGCGCGGAATGTGATGGCGCTCGACTCTTTGTTAACGGTACGAGAGAATCAACATATCAGGATTACTCAAACGTTTAAGGAGCATAACTAACTCTTTTCATTCGTAGTACTGAATGGCGTATTTTTTTGATTACACTTCATGCAGCAGACAAAAATTTCGGATCGAAACTATGGTCGCAAAAATGATGGCTTTTCACTATCCTGAACATTGATTCAGAACATCGCGTTTCCAACACAGCCCGTGGCACATCAAGAAATATTTCAGTCAACTGCCTTCTTACGGTCAGGTTAAGCGAGCTGTATTACAGAAGACTGATGGTTGTACCCAGTCCACTGCTGCTCTTATTTTATTGCGTGATTAGTGCCGGAAAATATTTCTACGAAAGAAGCCGAAGCGAATTCTTACTCCAGTTGTTCAGGATATAACGAGCAATAGTTCAATTCAGTTCAAATCTTCAGTTCGAGGTAGAATCAAGTTTAAGGCGTTAAGCTTCATTCTTGTCCAAAGAAGAAATATTGGGAGGATAAGCGATAAGTTCATAACCTCGCTCCCCTTCAAAAAGCGAGAAAGTGTCGGGTGCAGACCAAACACCACAACTGACGACGGCCTCCAAGTAAATCTGGTTAGAAGTTGTTCATAGTGATAGCTGATTTCTGGTAAATGATAGTTGTAATTAGTGACAATCGATAGAATACAACTGCAACAGGCTAATCATTTCATTGGCAGAAAACATTAACATTTTGTGAAGGCCGTCGTCACTTGTGGTGCATGGTCTGCACCCGACACTTTCTCGCTTTTTGAAGGGGAGGGTACGTGACTTAACCCGCTAACGTTTTCAGCAAGGCCGCCTCTTCTTGGAAAGCATGAGTTCTTTGCGAAAATCCAAGTGAGGTCACGTGAGAAAATGATCAAACCGCAGTCATTTGACATACTCTATACTACATTTCTCATCATAATGAATTTTTTCTTAGTAAGATGAGCAGCAAATGCTGCAGAAACAGCTTGCATTTGAAAGCTATCAACCATTAGTCCAGAATAACGGCCTAGTGGCTAATAAAGCACCATGATTTAGTAAAGGCCATCGTGCATGGGTAATTTATTCTAGCTATTATGCTCTAGGTCACTTACAAGGGGAGGATGATAGGTCGAAGTGAGCTTTTAAAATAAATTCCAGGCCATCTGAGGCGCCTTCGAGCGCTGATTACAGTCCCGTTTTCCATATCTTCTGGACCGCAACGAACTTCTTCCATCAAATTTTATTTCCAACAAAGGAATATTAATCTCATCTCAACCGGTCGCTTTGACCTGTAGTCCCTCTCTTGCCCCGCACAGGTTAGTGCAATTATTCGTGTCAGGCGATTTGAATACCAAGGGTTTACAACCTCGGATGATCCATATAGGTGTAGGCCTGCCCAACGTGAAATATTTGTATAGTAAATGAAAATCAGCAAAGGCTTTGAGTCGTTTCTGAATTTCTCCAAATTTCACAAAAGCACCCCACCTTTCGTAAATATTTTCTTCTTGTTTCAGCTGAAAATACTATTTCATTTCGCAAAATATGACCTCCAGAATAATAATAGTCCCTCCCTTTTCTGAACCGGTCAGACGAAGGGTTAGCCCTTCTTCTCCTCGTGAACGCAGGTTCAAATGAATCGATTAAGGGCTTCGATCCCTTTGCGTCTCATATCCGCAACCAGTCTGGATCATAATGACGTTAAAGTGGACGAAACACAATGAATCAAATTGGGCTCCCCAACCAAAGTGTGAATCACGGCGTTTTTGCTGGCCTTTCGGCGAATCTCATGCCATTCGCATCCAAATGGATACAACGAAAACGAGTAGTAGTACTTACAGAAATAGAGAAAACCCAAGAATGGCGCTGTTCACTCTTTACTGTCTCACAATTTGGAAGTTAGGGTGAAAACCTCGATTTGGCCAAAAAAAATCCCCCTAATGTGATCCAAGGTAATTTGACCTCCTGAGCGCGAATATCGCATTCGTTTGACACGAAAAACCCGTCGGCTGTGTCAAAACAACCTAGGCCTGCGTAAAAAGTCTACGGGGAAAATTTTCTAGTAATTGTTGTTAAACCAGGCCATAGTGATCATAATTGCGAATGACCAAGAAGTGAAAGAGCCATCTACTCGAGTATTTATTCGAACTGCTAATAATTTTAACATTGATCTGGATATAAGCTCGTTCCACTCTTTTGAGTTGCGCCATGCATCCCATTTCCTTTTGGAATCACCGGCCAGTGTGTGTGCAGTTCCAAGTAATAAGTAGTGACTCCATAAAGACCTGTTGAGCCCTTGAAACAAAGTAAGCTCAGAACCGTTCCTTTGGCCACCGAGCGC